AGATCCAAATAAATGGAAAGATATGCCAGGCTTTTGGATTGGAAACCTCAATATAATAAAGATGTAAATTTTCCTAAAATAGATAGACGTGCAATTCCTCTCAAAATACTTAATTTTTTGGTGGAATTTCACAAGCTGAATATAAAATATATACAAAAGTGCAATGGGTCATGAATAGCCAAGGAAAAGGTGGGAAGATTGGCCCTATTAGATATCAAGACTAACTATAAAGCTACAGTAATTAAGATAGTGTGATGCTAGTGTGAGGACAGACAGACCAGTGGAAAAGCAGAGAGTCCAGACATGTATACATAGACATAGGCTAAATATCAAAGGTGGTATTTCGGATCAATGTGGGAAAAATAGCTTTTTAATAAATGGTGGTCCTGGGCCAATTGGCTTTCTGCATGGAAAAGGATGAAATTGGACACTCTTGTGTTATACCAAATATAAACACTGATTCAACTGGATTCAAGACCTAAATGTAAAAGACAAAAATATAATAGAGAATACTTTGCTATGGTTTGAACATTTGTATCCCTCCAAAATTCATGTTGAAACTTAATCCCCAATTCAATAGTAGTAAGAGGTAGGGCCTTTAGGAGGTGATTAGACCATGAGGGCTCCACCCTCATGGATGGGATTAGTGCCCTTATAAAAGAGCTGAAAGAGCAAGTTCATCCCCTCCATCCCTTTTGCCCCTTCTGCCATCGAAGATGTCACGAGAAAGTGCCATATTAGAAGCAGAGAGGGCCAGCCCTCACCAGACCCTGAACCTGCCAGTGCCTTGACCTTGGACTTTCCAGCCTCTAGAATTAGAATAAATAACTATCTATTGTTTATAAAGTATCCAATCTAAGGTATTTTGTTATAGCAGCACAGGCTAAGACAACTCTAGAAGAGAAAGAATGTCTTGATCTTACTGTGGTAGAAAGACATTTCCCTAGACATAAAAAGTAGAAACAATAAAGGAAAAAACTGATAAATATGACCACCTTTAAGTTAATGTTGATCAAAATACACTATAAAGACAATGAAACCACAAGCCACAAACTGAGAAAAGATATTTGTTACACATATAAACAACAAATGGTTAATACTAGCTTATACAGATTCAATTATTGGAATCAGTAAGACCAACAACCCAATAGAAAACTGTATAAAATATTCAAATGGGCACTTCATAAAAGACATTCCAACTGTCAATACACAAATTGAAAGATACTCAATCTCATTAGTAATCAGGAAAATACAAAAGAAACTATAGCGATATATTAATACATGACGGCTACAACTGCAAAGTTGGATGATACCAAGTGTTGATGAGGATGTGGAGCAATGGGAACGCTCGTGCTCTGCTGGTAGAAATGAAAATCGCTACAACTGCTTTGGAAACCATTTTGCATTACCTAATACAGCTGAAAACACACATAACATATGACTTAGCATTCCACTCCTAGGTATATGAAAAAACTCTGTATTAGGAGGTATATGAGAAATACATTAGCGACATTACTTGTAAATAAACAACAACAAAAACAAAAACCTGAAAAAACCAGAAACTTTTAAAATTTCCATAAGCAGAATGGATAAACTGTTCAGTCACCGAATGGAATACTAACAGCAGCAAAAATGAATGAAGTCCAGCTATACTCATCAACA